TGCCGGAAAACAGGGAAGATAACACCATCAGAGATATGCTGGAAGCACTGAGATCAAAGGGAAGAGTTGTTTATTTTTCCTGATATCATTTGCAGGGATGAGGCCTTGGGAAATGCTCTTGGTATCTACCCAGTCTGACTGGTTTTGTTTCAAATAAACTGGTGTCAGAACATTCCAGAAGGGTCAGTGTGGAGGAAAAGGGGTCTCAGTCTCACAGAGTCCACGCTGGGGACAAGGCTGAAGTGGCAGCAATGCCTGGTTCTCCAGCTGCAGGACCTGCTGCAGGGAGCTGAGGAGGTGCAGAGGATTTAGAGACCTGTCCCAGACCTGTCCCCCCGTGCTCAGGAGACTGGGATTGGAATTGGTTCCTCTCCTGATTCCACCCACTTGCAGCCGAGCGTGGTTAGTGCTGCTAAAACCGTACGTGGGATTAGGGGGGAATAATTAGCCCTGAGCTTTCCTGTACCTGCAGGAGGCTGGAATGAAACTCTGACTCAGACCAAAACAACATTTAGAAAATGTACCAGGCCCAGGCAGAATAATCAGTGGCTGGTGATGACTATTTGTCTTGTCACCTCGCTGATGCCTCCCGTTGTAACGTCCTCACCGCCCGGTTTCCAGGGAAAGGGCATCCTGTAAATCTCACAGGCACGTTGCTCCACTGGGAGCTACTGTCCTTCTCACTTCACAGGCTGGAGAGATGCCTTCAGCTGGAACATGGCAGCAGTAGAAATATGGCAGAGGCAGTTCCACAGCAAAACACCTTTGCTGTGTGCAGGGAATTGATGTTTCCCTCCTCGCTCAGCCCAGCTCCACGTCTGCCACAGAACAATCCCCACTGCCACCGTTCTAAACAAACCTTTCATTTGGGATTCTCCCCAGGCTGATTATCCCCACTCTGGCACATCCAGAGGAAATGAGTTTTGCACCCTGGCAGATTGTAATAACATATAATCCTTCTTCCCTTGGGAAACTCTGCCAAGGGCACCGGAGGTGTCCCGTGAATGAGGATGAATGAAGCCCTGCAATCCACCTGTGGAGCACAGCGGGTTTCTTACTGGGTTTAAGGGGCACAAGAAGGTTCCCGGGACCTCAGGGAGGTCACCAAACAGGGAATAAACCCCAGGAGTCCCAGCTCCCAGTCTCCAGGTTTAACTGGTGAATACAGCAGGTTCAGCTGCCACGGGGGCTTGTCCCAATGCTTTCCTTGGGAGATGCTGAGTCAGTTAGACAGAGCCACTGCTGTGTAGCAGCTTAAGCATCAAAGGAGAAAGGAGAGAGGTTTACAGGAGCGTGGCTTAATTCCCATTTGCCTGTCAGCTCAGAGCACGCACATGTTCAAATATCACAGCATGAGTAACTGATAACCCCTCGTTTATTAATCCCTGGTAACTCAATCTGCCCTCTCAGCCCTGAGTGCAGAGCAGAGATGATGCCCTCAGGAGCTGCAGATCAATTTAAATTTCCAGAGCCTCGGTGCCTGACTCACTCCAGAGTGCCAGAGCTCCTTAGAATAACCATGGAGCAGATTTCCTGTCCCAGAACTGAGCCCCGCTCCCCTTCCAGCAGCCCTGGCTGCCACCTTCCCCTGTGCTGGAGCCATTCACAGCCGTGCAGGAGGGCACATGTATGTCTGGAGAACGCTGCCGTGACAAGCTGCCACCCCCCTTTCACACCAGCACTGGGGTCCTCTGGGCGCTGGTGCTTCCATGCAGCTCATCTGCAGGAGGGCAGGGACTCCAGGGCCCTTCTTGCTCCTCCCTGTTGCTGGTGCTGCTCAGACACACTGGGCAAAGCTCCCTTGGAAGTGGCAGTTCCAACAAAGGGCTCAGAGTTGAATTAACTGGGGAAGCTGTATGAGGACACTGAGGGCACTTGGTGTGTTCAGCTGGAGAGGAGGAGACTGAGGGGAGACCTCAGTGCAGTTCCAACTGCCAGGGCAGGGGCAGAGGAGGGGCAGGGACTGAGCTCTGCTCTGGGGGGACCAGGGACAGCACCCAGGGAATGGCTGGAGCTGTGCCAGGGGGGTTGGGATGGATCTCAGCAAAAGGTTCTTCCCCAGAGGCTGGTTGGGCACTGCCCAGGCTCCCCAGGGCAGTGGGCACAGCACCAAGGCTGCCAGAGCTCCAGGAGGGTTTGGATGATGCTCTGGGGCACATCTTGGGGATGGGCCTGTGCAGGGCTGAAGGTTGGATTGGATGATCCTTGTGGGTCCCTTCCAGTTCAGCATATTCTGGGATTCTGTGAAAAGGTGGGGAAACCAAGTCACTGTGTTAGAGCAGGACGTGGCTCAGGTCACGCAGCCCAGCAGGGGTGGAATCAAACCAAGTTAATAAACTCCCTGGTTAATGGCCCAGATGCAAATCCTGATTGCAGGACCTCGGCTGACTCCCAGCTCCCCCCAGCTGGCTGCACTCCAGGACTGGGACCAGCCCTCCAGTGCCACCTCTCAGGGATCCTCAGGGAGAATGAAGAGCCCTGGAAGTGAAGGTGGCAGCAGCCCAGCTCTGCTGACCCAGGAGGCTCTGCTTCATTAGCCCCAAAACACTGCTGACCGTGAACACTTCCATCCTGGCATTGCAGGTTCTGCTTCTCCATAAAAGCAAAAAGCAGTTTATGAGGGAACAGTCAATAATGTGCTGCTTTATCGCAGATGGTTGGGAGCGGTTGGCAACTGCACCCTGAGGAATGGGGAGGAGTAACTGTTTCAGGACAGCTGCTGTGTCTCCTGCCTGGCCCCTCCTGCCATGGACAGGCTGGGAGAGGGGTCCTGACACGTGTAAACATCGCACCCCATGGCCACAGAGCTGGAAACCAGCCATAAAGTGGACGTGATCACTCCTCTCCCCCAGCCTGCTGCAGTTTTTTGGGGCTCAGATGGTCTCCTGCTTTGCATTTCAGCAGTTCCAGCCCACCAAGAACCTGCTCTCATCTGGAGATAAAGAGCAGGAGGAGCGGCTGAGACTGGGGGTACAACAGGAGGTGCCCTAAAACACCCTGCTGGTACCCAGGTGGTGGCACAGGCAAGAAAAAGGAGAGGAGCACAGGTTGGGTGAAATGTTCTCGCTTTTATTCAGGGTCTGAACAGTCACAAACCCGCAGCCCCTCTGTTCCCCAGCACTGCTGCCCTTCCTGCCCCTCGGATGTCCCTCCCCAGCCAAGGGCAATGTCACTTCAAGGCTTCCCCTCCAGGTGAAGTGACACCCTCACCCTCTTGTCCCAGCCTGGCTGCCCTGCAGGCTGAGGCACTTACAGAAGTCTCTCTTCCCCAGGTCTTTGGGGAACCTCTGTTTCTCTTTGCAAGATCAGTGGAGAGTGAAATCCACGGGCTTGAGCTGCCGGGGCTGGACAAGGCGCCTCCTGAGGATCCTCTGGAACAAGTTTTTCCTGCCTGTCACAGCGGGGAGCTCCAGGCTGGAGCTGCTCCTCTGGTAAAACACCCCCAGGAGCCTCTTCTCCCTCTTCTCTGCCTCTTTGCTCTCCAGAACGTCTGTTCTTTGGATGTCTCTGACGGGGCTGGCACATCTCCCGGGCAGGGGAAGCCCTGCTGAGGTCCCGAAGGCTGGGCTGGCTCTGCCATCCTTGAGAGCGGTGGCACGAGGACTCGGCTGCTTGTGGCCCCTCTGGCCTCCATCCCTCTGGGAATCTCCCTCGGCAACAGCCATCCCGGGGTGTCTGCAGCATCCTGGCTCCTCCTGCCAGCCGGGACGTGTCTCGGCAGCAGGACCTCGAGGGTGGCCCGAGCCCGAGTGAAAAAACGCCTCCTCCCTGGTGACCTGCGGGCTCTGCCCCAGGGTGACAAAGCCGTAGGGGGTGGTGACCTTGGGGAGGTGGGGCAGGGACAGAGCTGCCCAGGCAGTGGGGTCTGGGCTCGGCTGGGCAGGGGGGTCAGAGCAGGAGGAGTTGGGGCCGGAGGAGTCGGAGCCCGGCAGCTCCTCCCGCCCCGCTGGGTCCGAGCTGCTCCTCCACGCCGTCCCCTCCAGCTGCCCCATCCCCTTCCCTGAGCCCCTGTGCTTCCCGTGGACGTCCAGGGAGGGGATGGTGAACTGCGGGATGCGGTCGGGGGTCACCACGTGGAAGAAGATGCCGCTGGAGCTCTTGCCCTGGAGCGTCCCCTCCCAGAGGGACATGGTGGCACCGCGGGGCTCCCCGGGCAGCGCTGGCTATTTATGCCCTGCTGCCAGCCCTGATTGCTCCGCGGGCAGTGACGTGGTGACAGCGCTGCCAGGGCCCTGCACCTGCCCCCTCCGGGCCAGCAGCCCTTTGTCACCCGCCCGGCAGACAGATGGGGGGGACAGGTGAGGACACGCTTGTCCCCAACATCATCGCCTGCCCTCCTGCTCTCACGCGGGGCTGAGTGTCACCCGTGAGGCAGGAGCGAGGGAGCGGCGAGGGGGAGAGCCGGGTGCCAGGGTGAGCCAGGGAGGGAGGGAGGGGGCACAGCGAGCGGTGCCCGGCGCAGGATGAGTCACCGCCCGTGGGCATCAGGTGGAGCCGAGCGAGAAGGGGCAGCTCGGAGCAGGAGACAAACACTCGAGCTCTGTCTAGCAAAGCTCCCGTCGGGAAAATCTCCCACGCAATTACCCAGAGAAAGCAGCACTTTCAGCCACTGCACCCCCCCCGCCTTCCCCCCGAGTCCCTCCGCCCACCTCTGCCGGTGCCAGGGCCGTGATGGATTGTTTCCCGCAGCTCCCGTCCCACTGGGGGTGGGAATGTGTGTGGGGGGGGACAGTCCTGGGCAGCCCCCAGGGCTGAACCGGGAAGAGCAGGGGTTGTGCATCCTCCAGGTGAGAGGATGAAGCTGCTCTCCCAAAGGAGCCTCAGCTTTGTTTTTCTCTCTATGCAGCAGGGGCAGAGCTGCAGAGTGGGCTATGATTCTATCCCTGTCACCCTCCCCTTGGCTAAGGAAGCTCCTCCACTAGCAGGGGGACAAGGGCTGCTTTAGGTTGGATCCTGCTCTGAAAATGATGCAGTGAGGAAAAGCAGCTCCATCTCTGTGTGGGCACAGACCAGGAGGGATGCAGAGTGGGCCCCCCTCACCTGGGGTCCAGCTTCTCCCATCCCTGGGGAGCTCAGCAGGGCGGGTTTTTGGCATCTCATCACCTTCAGCTTTTTGCATCAGCACAGGGACATGTCCCAGATCAGTCTTGGCGAGCTCTGACTCCCAGGAAAAACAGAGACCCCAAACGGAGGGGAAATGAATCCCTAATTGAGAGCCCTTAAGGCTGCCCCTGGCCCAGGCCCAGGGCTGAGAGCAGGAGACCCCCATGGGAGGGCACTGGGCTGCCCCCCAATTAGCAGCTCGTCAGTGTGATGAGGAGCACATGGGCCAGGGGCTATAAGTAGCTTGAGGCCCCCATCCTGGGCTAGGTCAGGTTTCTCTTCAGTCTGGGCTTCATGGAGCAGCAGCAGCTAAAGCTGGGCTCAAACCCAGAGCAGGTAAAGGTCCTCCAGGTGCCCCAGGGGCTGTTTCTGCTGGGGGCTCTCTCAGAGCTGCTGTGCAGGATCTGACTTGTCTCTCTCTCTGTCTAGGTGAGACCCCTCACCAGCAATGATCCCCACTCCTTCTTCAGCGGGTTCCTGGGCCAAATCCTTCAGCTGAGCTTTGTCAAGTACCTGGTAAGTGATGTTCCTGCTGCTGGAGGAGCCTGAGGCCAGGGGCTGGGGTGGGAAAACCTCAAGACTTGGCAGTTTCTTGAGTTTTTCTGCCAGGTATTTTCTTCTTTCTGTCTTTCCACGTCAATAGATGTTAAGAAGAATTCTTCCCTGTGAGGGTGGGGAGGCCCTGGCACAGGTTGCCCAGAGCAGCTGTGGCTGCCCCATCCCTGGAAGTGTCCAAGGCCAGGTTGGATGGGACTTGGAGCAACCTGGGCTAGTGGAAGGTGTCCCTGCCCATGGCAGGGGGTGGGATGAGATTTAAGGTCCCTTAAAACCCAAACCATTCCATGATTTTCTGATGATTCTCTGCCCTGTACTCAGCGTGAGCTTGTCTTCTGCTTTCCTCCCCATCCTGGAGTTTCCCTCTGCCTGCTTTGGCCTTGCCTTGTTCCCTGTTGCTCGTGGTGGTTGCAGCATTCACATTTCTCTGCCTGCCTGGGCCAGGAGAGATGGGAGGATTTTGTGAACGAAGTCCAATCCAACAGGTCCTGTTTTACCTGGCTGAAGTTGGTCCCATCTCAGCTCCACGCTGGGAGCAGAGCAGGGTTTAAGGCTTTCACTGAGGTCTTTAGCACATGCGAGAACTTCCAGATACCTAATGTACCTGTCTTTGCAGCCGAAGATGCTTCAGAAAGCATGGGTCTGGATTGGATTTGTGATCCCTGTGGAGACCATGATCAGCCAACTCTGCCCCAGCCGGTCTCCCCCCAGGCCCGGCCGACTGGCCAGGAAGCGCCAGGGGAGACTCGTGTGCCTTCTCCTCTCCGTGGTGCCCACCAGGATCCAGAACATCCTGGGCTCCCTGCCAGCAGACTGGGGCCAGGGCAACCAGCCCAGGGGTGAGAGCTCCTGCAACACCTGAAGGCTTTGCAGCCGACAAACACAGCGTGGCAGGGTTTGGGATTCCCGCGGAGGGCTGGGACACAGGGCTGTGTGTCTGTCCTGAGGGGGTGATGGTGCCTCCTGTGAATCCCTGCAGAGATCCTGGAGGCTCCAGTCAACCCATCCAGCAAAGCCAGCAAGAGGAAGAGGGATGATGTGGCTCTGGAGGAGCAGGAGTCCTGGTTTGTGGTGCTGGAGAGGGACTTGCCGGAAGATGACTCTGAAGACCTCACATATGAGGTAAGATGTGGCTGCTGGGCAGGATTGTTCCTCAGGGGCTCAGCAACTGGGAGGTGACAGTCTGGGCTCTGAGAGCTCCTGTAGCCTGGGAGTGTCCCTGCAGAGGAGCCTGTGCAGGGAGGGAAGAGGTTTCCTTCACTGTCCCCACTTTGTGGGGGGTGTTCAGTGAGGAGCTGGACTCTGACCCTGCTGGGTCCCTCCCAGGTGAGCACACCCTGTGAGCACGTGGACATCACTCCATCAGTGTCTGAAAGGTGTGGGTGCCCCCCTTGTCCCACAGCACTGAAGTTTCCCTCTGGTTGATGTCCCTGCAAAGCAGTGTCTGTCCCCCGTTGGCTGTGGCTCCCAGGATTGGGGTGTCCTTCCTCACACCTCCCTTGTCTCTCAGCCTCTTCCCCCCCAATCCCAGCCCTCGGATGAGGAGTCAGACAGTGAGGAGTACAGGTCCCACAATGACACTGAGGCAGAGCTGAAGCTGGAAGAGCAGGATGGGATCACAGTGATGCTGAAGGAGTCCTTGGATCCCCAGGTGAGTGTTCCTGCTCCCTGCTGGCTGCAGACCCATTCCTGGGGACACTGGGAAATACTGACCTGGAAGGTTGTGCTTCCCTCCTTGTTCCCTTGGCTGTAAAAGTTTCAGGGGTTACTCAGACTACTCTAAACATCCTGGACCCCTCACAGCCTGACCATGTCCCTCCTCTGTGAGCAGAGGACACACAACCCTCAGGAACTGGTGGTGCTGCCAGGGCTGGAGGATCCAGCTGGGTCCAGCAGTGGGGAAGGTGCTGCAGACGTGGGCAGTGGTGATGGTGATGCCCAGAAGCCCCAGGCTGATGTGAGCAGTGGGCAGGAGGCTGATACAGAGTGATGACAGCAGCAGTTTGTCCCAGGTAAGACTCCTGAGACACAATCCCACCCACCCTCTTGGTGGGGAGGTGTCACAAGTGTGGAGGTGTTTCGGCCTGGGGGATGTCCCCAGGCTCTGAGCCCTTTTGACACAGCCCCTCTGCTGCCAGGGGAGGTAGGGAAGGGTTGTGGGGGCTCCAGGCTCTCTCCCTGTGCAAAGAGACAACCTCAGTCCCCCCGTGGGGTTGAGATGGTGTTGGGTGTGCACAGTGGGGGGGGCATTGTCACCCCGGGTGACAGATGTGCCAAGTGCCACTGCAGCATTTTGTGGTGGCACCTCTGATCCTGCAGGTTGCCATGAGCCCTTTCTGACTCTGTCCCAGGTATCCTGCACTTTAAAATGGGATTTATGGGAGAGTCTTCACCACTAACAACTTCCTTTGGGGTCACTCACTACTCTAGTCCCAACTGTTCCCAAAGAACCAGTGGATACCCCCCTAATTCCCAGGAAACTGGTGCTCTGCCTGGCTCACAGGGAAGTGGAGGGTGAGGAGAGGTGCAGGGTGGGTTGATTTGAACTCAGCAGCCCCAGTTTCAGTGATGGCAGCCAGTTTTAGGGGGAACATCTCTGGTATTTTCTAGGAAAACCAGGAAGCCTGACCCATGGACCTGGACCTTCTGGGGCTGCAGAGTTCCTGACTCCCTGGGGCCACTGTGTCCCTGAGTAAGATGTCCAGTTAAATGCTATGTTGTTTTTTGAAGTTTATAATAAAATTGCCCTATTTCTCCCTGTGAATTGGAATGTGGTTGGCTGTCAGTACCTGGAGCTGCACCAGGTGACGTGGACATGGGAGGATGATGACTCTGGGAATGCTGGAATGTGGGATGGGAAGGGGAGGGAGGGATGGAGGGAAGGGAGCTGGGTTTCCATATGGCAGTATCTGAGCTTGGACACACTGACTGGTCCCTGATAGCCCTGGACTGGCTGGTGCCTCAAAGGAACTTCCCTCCACATGCAGAGCATTCCCAGAAATACAGTGGCAACAGGTCTACCTTGTCTGCCTTAAACCTGAGAGCTGTGCATGGAGCCTTCTCATTCCACGTGGATCCTACAGAAGACCCTGGTTCAGCACAAGAGTTGAAGAAACAGGGATTTGGGGTCTGGAAAGGTAAATTAGGAACAGAAAGTGCCTGAATGCAACCCTAGAGCTCTGGAGCAACTCAGCTGGTCACTGCCTGGCCCAAGTCACAGCACCTGAGGCTGCAAAGAGCAGTAACTCCTCCACATGGAGGGTGCAGATGGGAACAGCTCGGGGTGTGCCTGGAGCTGCTCTGTGGGTGGATCAGCTTGGACTAACAACACTCTCAATGCTAAAATCACCTCTGGCATCCTGCAGCTGGACAGGCTGAGCTCTTGGGTGGGTTGAACCTGGGTGGGCCAGGCCAGCTCTGCTCTGAGCCGGGCAGGGAAGAGCTGCCAGCTCGGGAGTGTCTGTGGGGATGGCTGTGCTCGCCCTGTGCCACAGGCAGAGCCTCCAGGGAAGTACAAACTCTCTCCAGTGCTGCAGGAAGGAGGTATTGAGATGTCCCAAGGGTTTTGTTCTTGTCCCCCAGTTCATATGGGCTGAAGAAAAGAGTGGGAGCTACAAATCCAAAAAGCGCAGGGAGTGTGAAGGCAGGTGGTGAGTCAGGTAAGGAGGATGGAGGTGTCCTGGCCCCCCAGGCCCTGCTGGGATCAGGGATGCTGATGTCTCTTCAATTAAGGATTGTTTCCCCATCAAAAGCAGCTCTGGGGCAGGTTGTGCTCTGTGCAGCTTTTCCTGCTGGGTTACAGTGATGGCTCAAAGGGCTTCTCTCGCCAGCAGTGAACCACTGAAAGGAAGGAATTCTGGTGCTTTAAAAGAGTAGCTGGGTCAGGACATCTCCTGGAGCTGCAGCCCTTGGGCTCCTCCCTGGCCCTCCAAAGTTGGCTTTACCCCTCCAGAGCTGGCCACGGAGCTGGCACTGGCTCCTCACATCTCTGCTTCAGGGGGGTTTCTCTGGGACTGGGCAGAGCTGGTTTGCTCCCAGGTTTGAGCAGTTATTTGTGCACCATTAACAGTCCTGAGCCATGAAGCTCAAGTAGCCATAAAGCTGCTCCCCCTCCTTGCCATGGCAGTGTCTCTTTGAATGCAGGTATGTCTCTTACCTGGGATCATCTGCAGCCTCAACAGCTCTGGTTTCATTACTGCTCAATAATAGCAAGATTTTTTATTTTTCAGATTGATAAAGGAGCTGATATTGCAACTCGTGGATATTAAATTGGGCTCTGCATTAATTCAGTTGTTCCTTGTTTGCGTTCAATAATTCTCCTATTCTCTGCAGCCAGCGCTTTCAAAGCAGAAATTAATAAAATATCTTGAATGGCATCCTTGAAATCTGTGCTGGCTTTTCCTCTTGCTCCTGAGCTTTAGGAGCACTGGATGGGGAGATGAAGAGCAGGCTTTGTTCCTTGTCTGGGTGTCAGGCTGCAGAGTGGCTCTGCTTAAATATAGTGAGGAAGAAACCAGCATTAAATCTGCCTCTCTGCAAATTAATTCTGTGCACACCTGCCTGCCATGAGGGTTTTGCCCAAAGCTTCACAGATCTTAAGCCCTGATTTAGGAGGAAGAGACCTCCCCAGATGAGCATGGAGGGAGTAAATGGCTCGGTGGAGTCAGAAGTAGCTGAAGAGCTGTTTGATGCCAAGGTCACCCCGTGGATCCTGCCTGGGTAAGCAGGTGTGGTGTGTGTTTGTGGTGGCAGTGAGGAGGAGGGTGATGGGTGCCAGGGTGTGAAGGCTCAGGCTGGAGAGGTGGCTGATCCCTGGGAGGTGCCTGTGTTGGTGGTGGCCTCGTGGTTGTCACCAGGGGCTCTGCAGGGCCGGGTGAGCTGCCCAAAATCCTGTGTGTCCATGGGCTTCAGTTTGCCAGGATGAGGCTTGTGCATCCCAGAAGGGCAGGTCTGGGGCCAAAAGGCTGTTTGGGGCAGTGCAGCCAGTCTGCTGGGGTGGGATCTGTGTGGCACAAAGGACATGATGCTTTTGGGGGACTTGGCCCCTCTTTGTGTCTGGGGAGGGGAAGATGGAGAGTCTGTCCTGCTGAAAGGTGAGAATCTGCACCTTTGAGCATCTCTTCAGTGTCCCTGTTTTTCCCTGTCCTGCTCTGTGGCTTTTTTGCCTGTTTTTCCCTCTGGTGTGAGGAGCTGAAGCACAGGCCATGTCCCAGGACACGGGGTGGTTGCAGCCCAGCTCAGTTTGGGGCTGGATGATGTGAGGAGCAGGGGATTGAACTCCAGCTGCATGGAGGCACACTGAGTCCTCCTTGGCATCCTCTGTTCTGGGCAAAGGCCCCAGAGGGATGTGAGGTGTGCCCACCTGAGCCTCTGGTGCCCTGTGCACCACCCAAGCCCAGCTTTTGTGTGGTCTCCCTCCTCCTTCCCCTCAGTGCCAGGTTGAGGAGCAGATTCCCTCCCTCCACCCTTGTGTATCCCCTGGAAAACTTCAGGCCACGTTCCCCTGCCCCTCCTGCAGCCCAGAGGAGTTGGGATGGTGGGAAGCACGTGGGATGTGGCTCCCAGAGCTGAGGTTTGCACCTTCATTTGGCCTCGGTGGCTTTGTGGGTGACACCAGGGACGGTGCCACCTCCTTGTAAGGGCCACCAAAGAGCGAGCCAGGTGCTGTGAGAGGAGGATGGGAAGGAGGGGGAATGAGGACAGGGAGGAAAATGAAGGGGTAATGCAGTGATCAGAGGATGATGAGACAAGAATGGTCCTGGGGGAGCCTGAGGGGCGAGTGAAGGTGACCCTGACACTCGGGGTCCACGGAGCAGCCTGTGCTAGACCTGTGGTGAGGGAACTGCACTGGAAACAAATGGCTTAATTGAGGCAAAAATGACCATAATTAGCGTGAGCAAATCCAATTAGGAGCCAGGGCGGGTTACCTGGGGCCTGTCCCTGGGAGCACAGGGGGCTGGGGGGGGCAGAGCAGCCCCAGGGCTGGGACAGGCAGGGGAAGGGTTGGGGGGTCCCCAGGGGCTGGTGCTCCTTAACATCCTCTTCTCCTCGGGCTGCTGGCTCTGTGCCCTGGACTGAGCCTAATTAGGCTGGAGAAATGGATTTGCCAGGCTGTGCTCAGCAATTGCCTCCTCGGAGCAGCTCCTGAACAAACACTGTCGGCTCTGCAGGGCTGGTCACGGAGAGGGTCAGCAATCCCATTCCAACCTTGCTCCGGGGCTGCAAGGAACATTTCGCTCTTTCCTACAAGGAGCAGAGTTAAAACTGCTCCTGTTTGTCCTTCAGGGGTGACAGCTGGGCTCCTTGCAGGCCTGGGGGGCTGTGGGAGGGGGGATGTGCTTGGCTGCAGCCCCGGCACGCTGCAAATAATGAGGTTAAATATTAACTGTAATGTTCTATGTTGCAGCAGGCATTTCTTTCCTATCATGTGGGTGCAACTGCCAGGCATTCAGAATGTTAATTTCCAGCAAAATCGTTATGGGTCACAACTTTTGTTATAAAATTTTTTCCTCTGTTTTGGGAAAAACATGGAACCACAACGCTTCTCCTTGGGCTTCTCTTTCCTGTTCAGTCTCCTGCTCCCCTTCCTAACGTGAGTTATTCCCACCACTCCAGCAGTGAGGGGCAGGCACTGGGCACTACCCAAACCTACCCCTGCCTCTTCCAGCCCAGCAACAACTAATGCATGAAAATCAAACCCGAGTGTGAACCCTGGGGGTGCTGGGCTGTGGGGCTGTGCTTGGTGTGGTCCCAGTAACACCAGTAGAGCCACCAGCAGGAGGAGCAGGCAGGTGGTGCTGCCATTCTTGACAAGCTCTGGGAGCTCTCAGGGCCTGGCTCCCTCTCTGCTCACAGGACTGGGGTCGTTTGGGATTTGCTCAGTGTGTCCTGCTCAGCCTCCACAGAGCATCCAAACCCTCCAGGTGCCTCCTCGGTGCTGTCACCCCCTGAGGCTCCTGCCTGTGACTGCTGGCAGCTCACAAAGATAGTCCCAGCTTTATCTTGCTGTTGTGACAGCGACAGGAGCGAGGGAGGCACTGCTGTGTCCCTGGGGAGCTCGGCACAGGCTCCAGCACTGAGGTTCCAGCAGAGCTGATGCAGTGTCAGAGCACCACAAGTGCCCTAAACCCAGCAGGGTTCATGGCTGGTGTGACATCTGCACATCCAGGGGACAATCAGCTGTCCCCAGAGCTCCTCTCACAGAGCAGGGTTGGGTCAGGAGGAGGTGCCCAGGCCTGGGGATGGGGAGTTAATTTGTGCTTCTCTGAGGACACAGCACGTGGTGCTTCAGGGACAGGACTGCTGCTGGGCTCTGCTCCACTCAGGGCTGGGCAGGAAGGACCCAGCCATGTGCTTCAAGTTGCCCTTTGGGGTCTTGCAGTTGCCACTGAGGGCTTTCCATCAGGGCTGACTCTCCTCCCTGTGGATAACCTGGATCTGAGAGTCCAAAGGTGCCTTGGACCACCCGAGCAGTGTTTTAGCCCCTCACTGCAGGGAGGGCTCCCCCCAGGTGTGTAACTGGGAGCAGATGGTCACACCAGTGCCAGAGCCCTCCTGGCCGTCACTGACACCCCTGGCAGTGCAGCCAACCCCTCAGAGCTGCACAGTTCCCAGCCCAGGCACTTTTGGCTCGTGTACTGAGAATGTTGGAGTCTCCCAAAGGCCTTGAGCCCATATTTGTGCTGCTGCCCTTGTTGGAGACTCAACTGGAGCCAAGCTGTTGGTCACAGTTGGGGGGGGTGGAGAGGCTGGTGCTGCACCAGATGCCACGACTGGGCTGAGGTCCAGCTGAGACCTGGAGATTTATTGCATGTC